TCTCTCTCTCTCTCTGTGTGTGTGTGTGCGGAGGGGCGGGTGGGTGACTGGCCGCCTATCGCCCGTGCCGCGTCTGCTGCTGCTGCTGTTGTGTATTTCTTCCTGTCTCTTGTCTCCTGTCTCCTTTGCTTCCGCTCTGCCACACTCTGGCAACGCGAAACAAAAATGCGCGCGCGCACACACACACACACACACATACGCGACGGTGTAGGGAAGGCGGACGGGTGCTATCCTCTACACGTCACACGTGGTCTCACTTCATTCATTGAGGAAGTAGGAGTTGGTGGCGTTTTCACACCCATTGGCGCTTTCGCCACGGAAGTCAACGTGAGAAGAAGAAACAACAGACACACGGACACTCCAAGAGATTGAGGTGGTAAAAAAGAAAAAAGAAAAAGAAAAAAAGGGGGGGGGAGAGATCATACTTCCACGGGAACATTCGTCTACACGACCGCTCCCCAGTAGAACTTCCTTTTTCTGTTGCTGTTTTAGTGTCTCTGTGCCAGCCGCAGCAGCACTGAGACGCCTATTCACGGAACGCAGCGAATAAATTGAAGGGGACTCATGTACCCTAATATGTTCCATGGGCCTATGCAAGGGTACCCTGGCAATATGCCGCCGCATTTTCAGCCTCCCTACGCCCAAATGCAGGTTCCCAACGTGTACGAGTTGCGATACAACAACGGCTATCATGAATTGCATGGCGCGAAAATGCCGCCGCGTTGGAGAAGCCCCGAAATACAACAGAATGGAGGTGCGAGCAGGCGTTGGTACGAGAACTCTCTGCGAGATGCCAAGCGGGTTCAGAGCCCGCAATGGCAATATCTTGAGGCTATGGACCGAAGCGGTGAAGCTGACACTGGCCAGAACAGTTACGACCAGCACAACCCCACCAATGGCTACGTCACTGGTGAAGAATCGAATGGGTATGAAGCGCGTTACCAGGTCTGGAACTGGACGGGTGCGGCTGGGGAGTTGCGTCTCCCGTCCGTTTCTCAGAAGCACGCAGGACGTCGCAGGGAGGAAGAGCAGCGAGCCAGTGATGAGGAAATCAGTGACGAGTCTGTTGAACCCCCCAAAGAGGCAAATGGTGTTGGGCGTACGTTTTTTCGTGGCTACCGATTTAGTGTCACAGAGGAGGAAGGTCCGTTGGAACACTCCTACTGTCCCCGCATCGGACCCAATTCCGAAGAGACGCTGAGTATGGAGAGCCACCAGGAGTCGACCCATGGAGAACGCGCGAGTGTTGTGGCGCATCCCATCGATATGGATTTCAGCATCTCGGAGAGGCAAAATGAAGTGTCGCCGAGCTGCAGCATCAGCAGCTCCAGTGATGGCGTCAATGATAGCTCCAGCTCTGATGAGGGGGAGGAAGAGGAAGAGGAGGATAGCAGCAGCTCGTCTGGCGATGATGGTTCCTCGTATGAAAGCAGCGGGGATGGGGCAAACGACTATATGAGCATGATGGGCAACACGCGCGACCCCTACAAAAATCGCTGCGGCAACTCTATCTGTGGGAACATTTCTGATATGTCCTTTACACTCCCCCCGTCGGTGATTCGGCCAGGACGGGAGCAGTCGCCTGTTGACGGCCCCACCTCCTTTTCCGGTCACCGGCAATCGTCGCTCTTGGATATCGCGGAGTCTACCCGCATTCGCCAGCTGCAGAAGTCCACCCGGCGGCGCTCCACAGTTAAGCCGTACCTTCTGAATGAAGAGATGCTTCTGGTTAGCAACGCAGCCCTCTCGCCCCCGTCATCGCTCCCGCGCCGCGGCGACGGCAACGCGACTCTGGAGGTGCCCGCACGCCCCGCCGTTGGGAACCCTACGGGGAAGGTGCAGTACGAGCCACACCCGCGCGTAAAGCCGCTCCTGAGTCGACGGCAATGGCCACCGGGAGCAAATCTGGTTCAGGGGCTGCATTCCAAACAGCCACCAAAGCAGTTGCAAAGCAAACAAGTATTGCCAAAGGATGTGCGTCCGGTGCGGAGCCAAGAAATCAAGCAGTTGCAAAGCCAACAAGTATTGCCAAAGGCTCTGAGTCCAGTGCGGAGCCAAGAAACCAAANCCGGGAGCAAATCTGGTTCAGGGGCTGCATTCCAAACAGCCACCAAAGCAGTTGCAAAGCAAACAAGTATTGCCAAAGGATGTGCGTCCAGTGCGGAGCCAAGAAATCAAGCAGTTGCAAAGCCAACAAGTATTGCCAAAGGCTGTGAGTCCGGTGTGGAGCCAAGAAATCAAGCAGTTGCAAAGCCAACAAGTATTGCCAAAAGCTGTGAGTCCGGTGCGGAGCCAAGAAACCAAAGGGTCATCAACGCAATCGCAAAGCCAAGAAGCAGGGCCAAAGGCTCTGAGTCCAGTGCGGAGCCAAGAAATCAAGCAGTTGCAAAGCCAACAAGTATTGCCAAAGGCTTTGAGTCCCGTGCAGAGCCAAGAAGCCAAGGTAACGCCAAGGAGTTTGCAGAGCGAACAAGAGCATCAGCTAAATTTGACATACAAACAAAAACCAAAGCAACAAACAAATGCTTCACCTGGACTGGCGTCTAGAAACACAGGAACTGATGGTGTTTGGGCCAAGGTATTGACAATTGTGAACAGTCCTTTGAAGCAACCAGCAAAGACTGTGGAACCGGTGCCACCGGAGAGGTCAGAGGAAGGGAACGTTGTTGGCCCCTCCAAAAGTGTCGTCAATGGTGTATCCGTCGCTCCAGAGGGGGGAAGGGGAGGGGTGTTGACGCTGCCGTCGGTAGGTACCAGTCTATTAGCGCAACGGACTTCTAATATATCAGATGATGGGCTGTTTCCTGGTCTTCCAGCTGATTACAACTTCTAGCAAGCGAGGTAGGTTCCTTACCTTTGCATTTCGTGCTTCGCGTTATTATAAAAATGGATTGGGTTCGTGTGCTCCCGCCAGACCCCACAGAGTGAGAAGCAATGATGGCAATTATGCTGATTTTGATCTCTTTCGTGATGGAAGGGTGTGTAGCAAAGGACGAAAAGGCGAAGGATCACTCGTCATCGCCTACGGCGCCATTTTGGGGGTGCAAGCGGTACATTTGTGCAGTTCTCTGTGGATGCGATTTACTCCTCCCCTATTGTTGATGGGCCCACGTGCCGCGTGTTTTTTTTTTCGCGCGTTGTGGTCGGCATCATCATCGATGTGTGGAAGGATGTGTGTGTTTCTACTGCCACCTTGTTGTTTTGTGTTGTCCCGTTTCAGGATTTTCTTTGGTCATTTACGCCTGTCTTTTTTTTTTTGTTTTGTTTTTGTTTTTTGGTTTTTTTCATATATTGTATGTGCAATTTGTGTCTGTCTGCTTCTTCGTTTGTGTGGGGAAAGGATGGTTCTCGCGCCCCTTGCCACATTCTTTCTCTCTCAGAGTGTTATGTGTTTCTTCTTAGGCCCGATTCCCCGGCTTCTCTTTTCTTGCTGACCACCACGCACACCCTGATATTCTCACATGACAAGCGGGGGCTCCGGTAGAAGCCTTTCCCTCATTGTCCATACTTCCTGTTTCCTGGTGTGTGTGTGTGTGTGTGTGTGTGTGT